GCACATAGCTGTACTTGGCTTAGTGACATTCTGCCTCTAGCCATGGAACAAGCACACAGTGGCCACAACTTTAGTCAGCTCCTGCTTTTGTACAATCATTTTAAAACTACAGATACCTAAAAAGAGTACATTTTTTCCCTAGCAATCCTTAAAAGTAGATGCTCTTTCAAAAAATACACACTGGTTCTAATGATTTTGAGATTTAAATTTTCAATAGGGCAAGAGGAATCTTTTTAATGACAGACATGATTTCTAAACTTCAGGCTGCCTGCCCATAATCAAAAGCTGTGAATAATTTCTAATAGGGAGCAAAGTGTATGTGCAGTGTGTTAAAACACCAGCACAGATGGGAAGTAGCTAATGGCCTGCAAACCTCCTTCTCAAGGAAATATTTTCCCCCAAAAACAATTGCACTGTAGCTATTTGAAAAGTGACAGACATTTATCAGCAAAACAAGCTGCTAAACAAGCAATGGCAGTTTTCCCATTTCTTATCCCATTACTCTATGGAGCTATTGATACGTTTGGTCTACAGCCAGAACAGGACTACGTCATAGCAGATGTTTCACGAGGGCAGCTCTGCGTGCTAAAAATCATCTGCCTTTCTGGAATCTCCTTTCTCAGAAATGATTTTTCTTTATGGGTTCGCTTTTTTTTCCTGACTGTTAAGTTGCAGTGAGGAAAATAAACCCACCCGCATTTAGCTTTCCAGAACTGCCAGAGAAGTTATGCAAGAGAAATTTCCTGTTGACAAGACATGTATGTCTGCCTACTTAAAGTCCTGCTTACTTGGATTTTCAGTGAGTTTACTGAAAATCAAAATTAAAAAAAAAAAAAGCAAAAGAAAAAAGAAAAAGGATCTTTTATAATATTTAGCATATTGGGTGCCTTATGGAATCCAGACCAGATTCTGGCACTGCCCTCAAAGAGTTTGCAGTTTAAGAGTAGGGAAAAGGGTAGCCAAGACAAACAAAAGGAAGATGGTAAAAGGTGGGGGAGATAAAGTCACAGGATTTTTACGAGAAGATGATGTGTAGTAGTAGGTTGGTTTACCACTTCCCATTTTGAAAAAGAAACTTGTCAAAACTTCAGAAAGTCTGGAGTGTGACAGTAAAGGGTTAGTTGGAAAGGGCGAAGGCCAGTGGAGAGGCAAAATGGAAGGAAGTGAGGTAGAGACAAAGAGGGGAAGAGTGGCAAGGAGTGGGACAGCATGGAGGAAGAGCAGGCTGAGCCACAGGACAGCGGGTGCACATGCAATTAGGGTGGGACTGGGGAGGACGTGGGACAGGAAGACAGCCCTGCAAGAAGTTGGAACAACACTTTGAAACCAGGTGACTCAGCTATAAAAGAGACTTGGAGTTGACCGTAGGAACTGAATTTAAAATTACCACAAGGTCCCCAAAGCATTGATCTAGCCTTGGGCCATAAATAAGGGGAACTTGATTTCCTGAGCAGCTGAGAACCTGCAGGTCCTGGACTGAGCAGGTTTTGCAGGCTTCCAGTCATGCTGTCACAAATCAACAAGCTCTCAGTTCCCATACGACCCTACTTCCCATCCACGTTCCCTTCACTCACATATTGGTAGCCACAAACCTTGATGTGTGAATTACTATCATCCGCAGTTGTTAGAAACATGGTTAGATACAGTTTTTAACATAAAGGAATGCTTACGGTGACCACAGTTTTCCCCTCGTGTGCTGTTTATGGGTCCGTTTCGCTGTCATTGCTGCTTCAACCCCCTCTGTTTCTTCCCTTTCTTTACTTATCCTTTCTTAGGCTGTACTGTTCTTTTGAGCCATTGCCTATGTCCATCCCATGGTTCAGTCTTTTCCGTGTTTAGCTGGAATCCTGGGGTAAAACATTTCCGTGCAGGAAGAGGAATCGGCCGATTTCTTAGGTAGATTTGTCTACTTGCACCTTCAAATTTGGAAATTTATGCTCTGAGGGGAGAGGTCTGGTATTCCTGCATTTGGATAAGGCCTGGTGCGTATGTCCTACAGAAGCCATGGTGCCGTGTGTCATGGATGGGTGGGCAGACCTCATGTTGCTTTTGCAGGTGAGCAAACCGTAGTTATTCTGAGGTTTGCAATCATCATGAGCCAAGGAAAATTACCTACAAACATGAAAGAAGTTTCTTCTCCAATTCTGAGGAAGGTTGTCTTTGAGGAGTTTGATTTCCCACCAACTCTACCTCTTTTTACCTCACCCATCATCCCTTTGAAAGGCCTATTTGCAGAATGTAGAAGAAGAGACTTGCTGATGACTTCTTCTGGAGCCAGTCGGTGCCTCCCTGAACACTGGCCAAAAGTGATGTGATAATTTCTTTCTCAACTCCTCCCACAGGCTGGACAGGCTGGCTCTGGTGTCCCTTTAGCCACCCGGGGGGGCTGAACTCTGAGCCTCCACTATTGGATTTTGCAGACCAGTGACATGTGGCTTCATTCTCTTTTTGTTTTTTTTTTTTTTTTCTTTTCCCTACTGGTGTTTTCATGTCATGCAGATGTTCATTCCTCCCAAAGAAAGGCGCTGCTGTGTGTGCTCTGCTCCTCCACTGCCACAACACAGGTCACATGACTTCTTGAGCTCATCATAAACTGTTTCTTGGCTGTTGGTGCAGTGCAGGTTTTGTGGGACATCATCTAGGTTTGGGTACTTCTCCTGCAGCCCTAAGCTTTCCTGCAGGCTTGCAAGTTCCTTTTAACGTGGAAGGGTCCTACTAGTTCCATTTAATTCTTCCTCAAGGTCCTCTCCTCAGATGGCCCCAACAAGAAAAAAGCTGAAAAAAACTGCTGATTTTTGTTAAAATGAGCTTTTTTATGCTTGGGGCAGGAACCAGAGGGGCAAAGGATGTGCTTGAACAGTCCATCCTGGGAGTTCGGATGTCACAGAAACATTGTTAAGTGCCAGGAGTCTCGTTTTAGGAGGAAACAAGGGTTGTTTCTCTCCTTGCAGCAAGTATCGTTGGAAGGTATGTTTTGCTTTGCACCCCACACCTAGAAGGAAAGGTGACAGGCAGCAGATGCCAGGGCTGCAAGGGAAGATGAGTAAGTTGTGTCAGGCTGTACAGCAAATCAGTCAGGCACCTGGAACTCGATGCGGCTCTTTAACCTCCAGCCCAGCTCTCACGACTGTGAGCCTCAGCTCCTTCTGCTCCCAGAGTCAGCCAAGGCTGGAAGCTACACCATCAAAATGCTGAGGTCACTCACATGTGCAGGTCTGTGACCTGCCACATGCGTGCATTTACATGTGCCCATGAGCAGGAGGTGGTGGCAGAAACACGGATGCAGAACCTCCTGGTGGCCTTCATAAAGTTCTGATGCCTGCTATTTTATATTTATGAATTATTTTATTTATATTTTATGTATCTTTGCTGACAGGGCACAAAGAAGAGGGCAAGGTGTGGGCAGGACATATGCTGACACTCGTTACCTTTGCCTCCTTCCCAAGCGTTTTTTCTAGCCTTTTCAGCTAAGCCTCTGCCTGTGGTGGCACATGGTTGATGGGCTGCTGGAGAAATGCTGCTTTACAGGAGCAAAGCGATACTTAGTAAATAATGTAGATCCTTATTTCTTAATTTGAGTTACCTGTGGTGAGCTACCAACCCACAACTACACCGAGGTTCCTAATCACTTGGGCTCATTTGAGATCCTTACCTCACTACAAAAAATTTTATCATCTCTTAAATGGGGTAGGGCTCACCTGGGTCCTACTTTGAAAATATGCTCTATGGGGAAAGGAAAACCGTGGGCATTTGTGGCAAGAGGCCTGGGGTTGCGACTAAATGGTAACGCCTCTTGTAAAGAACATAAAAGGTTTCAACCCAACCTTAACAGGGCATGTGCTCTTCTGAGACTGATCAGGAAACATAGGGACACTATAAACTTCCAATTTATTTGAGATATATGCTATAACTTCTCTGGACCTGCCTTCTTACTGAAAGGGTGTTTGTTCATTATTAGAGAATGTATAATATTTCTGCCACCTAGTGTCCAGCTTGTGGAATGCTCAAGCTTTTGGTTTTGAGTTACAAGTTATTTGTTGTTTTCTCTTTAAGTTCTTCTAAACACGATTAGTGGTGTGGTATAAACTTCACTTATAGACTTAGGTAGGCCTCTGATAGTAATAATTTATACTTGGCATGTTCTACTACTTGGAAATCTGGGGAATACCAGGGAATAGCATATGTTTATTTTATATCTCATCATATTTGTATATGGTGTTTTGAAGACAAATAAATAAAAAGCCATGAGAAACTTTGACTAGACATGTTTTTTCAGATTTGTGAATTATACAAATGCTTTTATTTGAACTAATATTTTCAAGGAGTACCAGTGCTAATAAGTAGACCAGAGTCCTAAATTCCTGAATTTATATTCTAATCATGCTACCTACACACACAAAAAAAAAAAAAAAAAAAAAAAAAAAGCCTTTTTTAGCTGTTAAACTCCTGGTATAAAATCAAATGCTTCTGCATGTGTGAATTGTGCCTGCATGCTTCCCTGCTCTGAGTGCAGTTGTCACAGCAAACCCTCAACTAAGAAAGCACAAGAGGCTTCAAACCCACTGTGTGTCTGTAGGATAAAAGAAATGGCTGTGCCATGCTCTCTGAACAGAGAGGGGCTGTGGTTGGTGTTTAAACCCTAGGACACTGTCCGGTTAATGCTAAAGGTGTGCTGATGCCTTCTGTTGTCCTCGTCCCTCGTCTCTCTCTTGCCCCGTGCTGTCCGGGAAAGACCTGGCATGCACCACAGCACAGGGATGATGAAACTTTGCAGTAGGCTTTTTAAGGGCATGACACAACCAGTTATCTCTTGGATTGTCCCAGTGGAAAGGCACCAAAAACAATCACTTGCAAAATTGCATCAATAGACTCAAAAATGGTGGCCCTGTCTCTATGGAGATTCTTCTTTATTCTTCTAAAGGTCATTCAAGAATAATGTAAAGTCTTTCTTCTACAGGCTACCTTTCACAGGATACCCACTTTGGGACTGAAAGCCATAGAAGAGCATAGATCCCCTGTTCTTACACCCAGAGTTCCTGCCCATCCTGTACCCAGCTCCAGGGTGGTGGACTGGCACACTGGAAATGATCAGGTGAGGCTGGTGTGTCTGGATGCGTGGCTGCAGAAACCTGCTTTTACCCAGGCACTCTGCAATACAAAATTAGCCCTGTTTTATGTTACATTGTCACAGTCGTATCTGAGCATCTTTGGTTTTTTGTAGCTTAGCTGGGGGCCAGATACCTCATTAATGTAAACTGCCTTCTGGATTACAGCCACGGGAGGAAGGAGATGCTGGTTTGTTTTAGAGCAGTTCCTTTGCCTCTGGAAGATCACAGGTTTCAGAGGGATTTCCGTCTTTTTCTGCCGCAGCTTAACAAAGACTGAGATTTCATATGAACCTCTGAATGTACAGGACCCAACATGCACTGTGTATAAAGGTAGGAGACACTTTGAGTCCTCTCAGTCTTTTTCATAAACTCAAGTGAGATTCCAGCTGGTGTCTTCAGTAAAACCATTTTGATGTCCCTGGCTCTGATGGGGAAATTAGTGGCATCTCTAACCTGCTGAAACTCAGCAACTACATCCCTCAGGTCAAAGCTCAAAGCTCCCCCTGAGGTCATCAGGAATTCTGAAAGCTGAACTTGATGCTCCTTCTGGGCAGCAGGAAAACACAGAGATAGGCAGCTACAAAGCTCTCTCTAAACCTTGGCAGCCCTTCCCTGGCCTGCCTGTGGCCCTGCTTCTCTTCTGATGCTGATTTCCTTTGATTTGGGAGTCACATTTTGCAATAGGGTGTTACCATGGGGGTTTGCTGATGCAACACCCGAAAATGGAATAACTGGTATATGAGTACATGCTTTTATTTTTGCCTTATTTCCTGTGCACTTCCCTCTCCACCACCCTGTGCATACACACGGAGCATGCACATAAAGATGCGAAAAATGAAGTGACCTGTAAGGTTTGTTTGATTTTGTGAGTTTGCTTATGGTGAGACATCCACTGTAGTAAAGACAACAATTGACTAAAATAAATGTAGAAGAGCAATACAGACCTGCAGAGCGACAGGATGGGGAAACAGACTGAATGCAGGTGGATGTGAAGCGTTAACACATAGGGAAAAATAATCCCTGTGTATTCCCTTCAAAATACCAGGATTTTTTCCAAGAAAATATCAACTCAATGCTTGTCAAGAAGCAAAAAAGCCAATCATATGTTAGGAATTATGAGGACTAGGAATAAAGACAAGAATATGCTGTAATGTTATGGTACGAATCCCTAGGTCACCTGCTTTTGAGTGTGACTCTGTTCCCCTATCTCAGAAAGGATATAGCAGAACTGGAAAAGGGCAGAACTGAGAAGGGCAGAAAGGATGACTAAAGGTAGGGAATAGTTTCTCTATGAAAGGAAACTGTGGAAGTCCAGTGGATTGGATAGGGAGGGTTTAATAGAGGTCTACAGAATTACGTGTGCCATAAAGAATGTGGATATGGAGCAACCATTTACCATCTTGTCAAGTGAAGAATTAGACACCAACAACTGTGGCTGGCCATAGCCTGGCTCAGAGCAGGAGCAGGAGCTAGTGCCTTGCATAGTGGATGGAGACCTGGGGAGCCCCTCACCCATGGATGCTGTGTGGGTAAAGTGGCTCAAGGGGGGCCTGGGCAAGCCCTTGGAGAGTGTGAGAGCCATTGCAGATTACTGACTCAACTAACTAAACTAAGCTGAGGAAATCCCTGAGCCCACTTTGGGCCCAGGCTCCTTCCAGGTGAATGCTGTGTTTGGCTGGAGGGTGGCCCTGCTGGGAGCTTTGCCTCCCTGCTCACCATGGGCGAGCACTGGGCAGCCCCTGCAGGGGCTGAGCACAGCCACAGCAACCAGGACCCTGCACATCAGGGGGAACAGCCTGTGCTCTGGGCCAGCTGCTGCTGGTGTTTTCCTCCTTGCTTACCAGGAGAAGGATGCAGGAGGTCTCCTGAGAAGAGACCTGGTTTCCTGGCCAGGCAGCTGCAAACATGGGGAGGGAGGATATTGGTATAAAGGGCTATGTCTGTACTTGGGCTCTCATGCATTACAGCAGAGGAGAATCAAGTTTAAACAAGGTTTCTTGGGTCATTGAAGCTGAACGCTTTCTGATGGAGCCAGCCGTGTCTTACACCTTTCACCTGAAGCTCCCCCAGCAAAATGGTTGGGTTTGTCACACGGGGCTCAGGGCTAGGAAGAGGACAGGGTGAGGGCGGCTCAGCTCCTAAACGAGCAGGGCACGTGGAAGCGGTGGAGAAGCTGTGGGAATCCGGACCATGCATGTAGCAACATGCAGGAGAGATCACTTGAGATCACAAAGCTGCCACTAGATGTGCTTCAGGCACAGCTTTACAGTGAAAAAAGGACCACTGCAGCATCTCCCTGGCGTGACCTGAGCTCCTGCCTTGCCACAAAACTCACACCGCCTGAGCTAACGCAGGTTTTGATGTCAATGTCCTTAAATTGTTTGTCTCTGTTTGCAACAGGCTTGTATTGATTTAGGTTAATTTGGTTACCCAAAAAAGGGTTGTGCTGATTGCTCTAAATGGATTAAATAGTGATTTTAGTTAAACTGATGGCAGGCTTGTGTGTAGACAGGGCCTGGAGCTTTGTAAGCTAATGACTTGGCAGTAATGCAATTTTTTTTAAACATCTGGGACCAAGCTGTTGTTTTAAACATAAGACCATAAATGTTACTATTCTAGTAAATGGTGATAGTTTTCTGTTAACTCGTGCTCCTTCTGAATCCTGGCAGATCTCTTTGCTAACTCTCACTTTTCTGACAATAATATCACAAGTACGTTTACTCCAAATGGATTTTGGATTAAATCCAAGTTCAAAACATGGAAAATTTCCAATTTTTTGCAAGATTTTCCGATTTTTGTTCACCTTCCCAGCCTGCTAATTTTTCCACTGTTTTGGTAATGGAAAAAATGTTTGTCTTCATTTTTTGATAAAAATTCAGACAGAAGAAAAATGCAAAGAAATCCAGCTGCTCCCAATAGCAGGGACCTCTCTTCACAAGTGAGCCCTGAGAGGAGAACAGGTCCACAAGCAGCCACTGTTTAATTTTTTCACTCAGAAAAAAACAAGGGTGAGATAGTCATAGAATCATGGAGTGGTTTGTGTTGGAAGGTGCTTTAGCTCTTGGGCATTACAATTTTTGTGTCCAGATCATCTCAATGGGAAAAAATCACTATGTCTGCATAAAATCTTTCCTGCCTGACTCTGATCCCAGCAGTTGAGCTTCTGCCAAGCGAATCTGTCTTCACGGGTCTTTTCTCCACCAAACTGCAAATCCCATTTTGATTCATCTGCTTTCTCTGTTGATATTTTTATCTCAGGTTGGGACTGAAATTTGAAAAGAACATGACTCCAGACAAAAGACTCACTGAGCCTTGGTTAGCGTTGATTTGCAAGGATGCCTATTGAGACACTGAATAAGCCTTAGCTCTGAAAACAACAGTACAGCAGGTAGGTTGTGATCCTTTTCTGTCTGAGGCAGGTATATAGAACCAGAAAGTTGGTGGTAAGAATGAGAGGAGATGTCATGCCTTAAAGGACAGAGAGAACAGGAGGAAGGAAAAGCTCAGGGTTACCAGCTGGACAGCAGTTGGAGACCAAGAATCTGAAATTACCTAGAGAAATGAATACACGGTAACCTAGCATGTGCTAAAAAAAAATTTTGGCAGACATTTATATACCACTAGTGTAGGTTGGATCCCGGACCGTTTTCTGCATTCCTGGATTCCAGAAATTGAATGCCAATAACTTGGAGCACACATAGAGGTGGAGCTGTGGGAGAAGGACATGATACAATTCAGATAAATCAGGGGCTAGAGTATTTATGGAGAAGCTGAGTTACCCAGAAGGAGTAACAAACTGATTGTCCAAGACGTAGGCCAAAGGGATCAAGGGAATCAGCATGGTAAAGGCAAGTGGGCTGTGTGTGACTCAACCACAGCAGCTCGCTAGGGCTGGTGGGTCAGGAAGGAGTAGGGAAAGGTGGAAGTGCAGCCACAAGGTAGTCCCACAGTTGTAAAATTGCAGCAATTAGCTGCAATTAGCACTGTGGAATCCATCTTCATCTTCAGTGACCACCTCACCAGAATGACGATTCACCCCTTTTTCTAACCTGCAGCATGTCCACAGATGTTTGTGCAACCCCTGGGCCTGCAAGTGCATTCATCCCTCTCATACACATCCTCAGTGCCCATGACCAGGGTATAACAGTGTCACAGGAGCACTGATGAGTTGTCTTTTTGTCACACTCCACTACACACTTAGGATGCGGATACAGACTGTGGCAAAGCAGGGCCCTGGATTCACATGCCTCCTGGACCCCCATTCATTCCCATTCATCAGCCAAAATGATGATGGTGATCCAGCCCTGATAAAGTAAACCTCCACCAGAAGCCAGGAGCTTTTCCCTATCTTGTATGTGGCTCTACAGCCCTATTGAGCAAGGCTCAGTGGCTGATCATTGAGACATCTAAGTCTGGAGGCTTGGGGATAGACATATTTGTCAAAAAAAAATTACAGGATCATCTTCTTGCCTTGAATGCCTGAAATGTAGGTGAACAAATCTTAATCAAACTGACCAAAACATTTGCACAGAGTGGATGGGACAGCTAGACTGGGAATAAGGCCATTTATCCCCTCCTCCCATTTGCCATCTGCTGGTGTCTGAGAGCTCCAGAAGACAGCTTCAAAGCTATTCCAGGCTCACAGCAGTAAAAGCTGCCCATGAGGGATGGATGCCCAGCCCTGGAACACAGCCCTCCCTGGTCTATGAGTTGTAAAATAAACTCTCAGATCAGAACGTCTGGCTTTGCTACAAAAGACTACAAAGCTCACAATTAGTAAAAGAATATCCTACAAAATCCTTCTTCATACTTCCCCGAGCCTCTTCTATGAAACAATTAGTGGATGCTCTTGTTTTGAACTCTGTGACTCACTCCTGTAATTCAGTTGTGGCCTGTGATCACTCAGTCGTTTAATGCGTCGCGGGGAAACAGGCAATTGTGAGAATTTCCTCTCTCCTTCCCTCGGCCTCTCGTGGCAGCTCTGCGGCACATTAGACCGCAGTGCCATGCAGCCACAGCCTGGATGCTTGCATCCCAGATGAGCAGGCTCACTCTTCAGGAATGCTTCTGCAGGGTATCAAGCAGTGATCAGAAAGGTTTCTCAAAGAAAAAACACGTCTCACTACATTTTGCAGTACTTAATAATCCAGCTGCAAGGAGTCCTTTTCCAGTCCTTTTACCAATGGTTTGAATAGTTAAGTTGTGGCTTGGTTCTACCAGAGTTTTATTTCTAATTTGGTATCTTCACAGTGAGTACACGTGTGTGCATTTTGTAAAAACTCCATAAAAGATAATAGACACTATTAAAGTAATTACACTGGCTAATGTCTCCCACTTTCTTTTCTATTAACTGTATTTAACTTTGCCAGTCAGCAGTATATTTACTGTTATGAACTAGTAAGTGACCTTTAATCATTGGATTTGTATAACATACCTATTTGTGTAACTTTCCAAGTACATGGTAAGTATGAAAGACATTTAACAATTAAACCAAAAGCGTTTGCAGAGATTCCCAGCACAAGCTAAATATGTCTGGAGGCTTCTCTGTGCTTACCTTGTCTTGATCATGCTGTGATAATTTTGGCAGCAGAGCAAGGAAAAAGCCCTGAATAATTTGCCAACTATTTCACGTCTAAAAGAGAATTGAAAACAGAAAACTGAAAAATTCCTCCTGCTGGTACCACACACCAGAAGTCCTGCCCTGTGTCTGCTGAACAGTGCTGTACGTTTGCCATGAGGAAAAGACAATTTCATTCTCTGGCTGCTGATGACCAAGTGCTAAATTTCTGCTGTTACCAGGAATGGCAGAAGGGGCCATTGCAGGAGTGGCCCTGGCAGAGCAAACTGCTTCATGCCAGGCTCCCTTCAGGCCCCGGGGGTGGCTGAGCCAGTGACTCCAGTAGCTGCAGGCAGCTGCTGGTCCTCTGCCAGAGCACGGGGATGAGGGCTTCTCCACGTGATGCTCTGGCTTCTCACTTGTTCTCTGCTTGATCTGTCAGACACTTTTCCCCCCCTTAGTCCCTTCATTATTTCCCATTTCCCAGTTGCTTTCCCTCCTACCACTCATGTTCATTCCTTTCCATTTCTTCCCCTTGTCCTCTTTTAGCTTCCCTATTTCTCTTGCTTTTCCCTCTTACTTTCTGCCAAACTATATGCACCACTTTCTCTCTTTCTGGTTGTTTTCCCAAGGGCTGAATCACAGCAGTTCTGTTTGCATGGCCATTTATGTAGCCCAGAGTTGTCTCCCACAGTTTGGGGTTCTTCACACTTTGGGTGATCTTCCTTGGTTCCCTCTGCAGTCAATTGGGAGAGATGAGAGCCTCCAGGAGGTGAGTCAGTTTTTAAGGCTGTTGTAAGACTCTGTGAAAACTGATCTCCTGCCATGATCTGCCAGTAAGACAGACAAATATCCTAACTTATGAGCTTTGAATGGGGGACCTAAAGTTATTTAGTACAAATCCCGCTTTTGCAGTGTTTTGGCGTACATCCGATGGATGGGGAGCAGAGATCAGAGTATCTTCCCTCAGACCAACACTGCCCTCCAGGGTGCCAGACTGCTGCCCACACCCTGGCAGTCAGCACAAGTTGCACCTGAGCACAGCAGCTGACAGAGCCTTGCAACAACCTTCCCCTGGCCCAAAGTCCTATCTGCTACAGACAAAGCATTTGGTCTGACTTCAAAAAGCCAAGCGAGCATTTTTGCTCCTGTTCCTTTTTTCACTCTAAAATAAGTATTGCACAAGGAGTAAGGGAACGAAAGTGAAAAGGGAAACAAAACTTTCAGTCTCACTCAGCCATTTGAAAGCAGGCATGCACATAGTTTCCACGGCTTTTGTTTCACCAGGAGAAGGTTTCCCAGGGGCTAACTTCAACATTTTGAATGGACCCATGTTTAGCTGTTTCCGTAGCAAATCACACAGCAACCATGAACTGCAACTGTAGCCTTATCTCCATCCAGACACTTGTTCCCATAGAGATTTTTCCAGTTCACCGTGATCAGACCAAGAAAATGTAGGTCACATTAAAACAACCCTCCCAGAGCTTCTTCGTAGGCACACCCTATTGCATACTGAGTTTGCTGACAAGCTGTTACATGATAAAGGTCTGTTTTCTCTGTAGAAATCTGGTCCTATGATCTGCCTGTGAGATTCTGTCCCTGGTTTTCCTAGGATTTCACCTCCAGTGCAACAACAGCTTGCTGATCCAGGAATGCAAAAAACTGTGGAAGCCATTTGCTCCCTCTGCTTCCCTGTCCATCTCTGCCCTGTTCCCTTTCAAACACTGGTGGGCAGAGGAGGGATGACTCTTCTCCCCATGTACATCCCTTGTCCCAGGGCAGGCTCGGCAGGACACTTTCTCCCACACTTAACCTTTCTCCACAGAGCACTGGTGGAGGGAAACCCAGGGTTTATGTCCACCTGCTCTTTGGCCCAGATAGCTCTTAGGAGTATTTTTGATTAATTTTATTACTGAGTGCAGGCCATGATGTAGCAGACAATGCCTTGGCCCTGTGCCTGACCAAGGTGGCTGCTGTGGCAATTGCTCCTACAGCTCACTCTGCCCCTCAGCTGCTTCTGTGTGTGTGGCTGACCTGGTGGCTTTGATAATCGAATTTTTATTAGCCTGTTAAGTAAAATGCTGGCATTGAGCCACTGGCAAGTTGTAAAGCTGGCCGAATAATTGGAATGATAACTCACTCATATTGAATGTGGTCCACTTAGAGGTGGTGAGTATTTCCTGAATGGAAATGAATCTCTTCTAAGGATTTGGTTTAGATTACTTCACTGCATGGTTTACTTCAGCCCTGTAATTTTATCACTGATACATAATGTAGGTTCATAAATAGAGCAATAGAGCCTTGGCTGTGCTTGGAGATAGTACTGAGCACTAATGTAAATTATAAATGTAGAGTTAGAAAATGTAACAAGCCCAGCTGGCAAACTTCCATGTATTATCTCACAATAATTGTTTCCAGCCAGCAGAGATTTTTTGTACAGCATAAGACAGGTTATTTATATTATATATTTAGCCTAAAACTGTAATAACATCCTCTGGCAAAGGTATTATCTGATGGTGTCTGAAATGGAACCAGCTTTTCTCTTTCCAGGCATTAATAAATGAAAAATTTTGTGTCATCTCATGGCATTTCCTGAATTGGAGAATAAAATTAGGAGGATTTTTAATTCATATAGTTTACTTCTTAAAAAGTAAATCTATTTTTGACAACCCGGTTTCCTAGAATTGTCACATGTGGTTTGTATCACCAACCAGAGAAATATTTCCTTTGCCATTCTAATCAAGCAGAAACAACAGTACCACTAGCAGCACTGGCTCCTGACTTAGCATAGTCAGGAAAATACCTGTGAACAGGCAAGGCTTGTGAAGGTCACAAAAGAGAGTATGTTTTTTCCTGTTTCCTTAGAAATGCCTGGATGCCTGTTATGTTGCCCATCTGCACATCCTCAGGCAAACCCTACAGTAGTGAGGATATGAAGCCAGTGATTAGGAAGACTAATAAGGGTATGTTTAGAAATCTTAGGGAGAGACAAATCTTAGTGTTGGGCCATGCTGGCTACTGAGTGTAGCATTCCATCTGCTGGTGAGGGCAAAGAATGAGTGTTGTGGTTTAACCCCAGCTGGCAACAAAGTCCCACACACCTGCTTGCTCACTCTCCCCTGGTGGGATGGGGAGAGAATCAGAAGAGAAGTGAGAAAACTTGTGGCTTGAGATAAAGGCTGTTTAACAGGTGAAGCAAAAGCTGCGCACTCAAGCAAAGCAAACCAAGGACTTCACTGCACTCCACGTGCAGGCAGGTGTTCAGCTATCCCCAGGACAGCAGGGCTCTATCACCCGTAGCAGTGACCAGGGAAGACAAACGCCATCACTCCAAATGTTCCCCCCTTCCTTCTTCTCCCCACCCAGTTTTATATGCTGAGCATGATGCCATATGGTATGGGATATCCCTTTGGTCAGTTGGGGGCAGTTGTCTTGACTGTGTCCCCTTCCAACTCTGTGTGCACCCTCAGCCTATTCACTGGTGGGGTGGTATGAGAGGCCTTGACTCTGTATAAGCACTGCTCAGCAATAACTAAAACATCCCTGTGTTATCAACACCACAAATTTGTGTGTTTCCAACACAAATCCAAAGCAAAGCCCCACACCAGCTACCAGGAAGAAAATTAACTTTATCCCAGCCAAAACCAGCACAAACAGAAAGCAGGAGGATGGTACTCAGGATTTCTGAAGATATCTCAGGTGTTTTCCAGTCCATTGGGTAACTTGGGAAGATGTCATGAATATTAAGAAATCGGTTGGTCTGAGTTGCCAGCTCCCTCCCCAGTCTCAGGTCTTGGCCAAAGAATTCTCTGCCAGTGTTTGGGTTAGGTGACAATTGGGTTCTGGCACAACCCCAGAAGGTCAGGCTGTGCTACTGACAGACTCCTTCTCAGTAAGGAGTAAGTTCCTCAGGGAACTCTAGGCACGTCAGCTTAACTTCTGCCCTGGGAAAAGTCACTAAAAATAATGTAATTGCTCGTAAAGAACCAATCAGTTGTAAACTGAAGATGCTGATGTAGTAAGTGTGGAAGACACTAATGAAAACAAGCCTTGTCAGACCTGACGCTTGGTATTTATTTTTGATGAGAGCTCAAGGTTGATGAATATGGGCCATCATAAATGCAAAAGTTTTCTGTCAGTTATTTGAGCAAGTATCACACAAAAGCCTGATTTTTTAAAAAAAAGAATAGGTGGAACTGTGTAACATCAAAATATTCAATGATATGAGACCTGGTGGATTGAAAAGATACAGCTGTCCAAGAAGAACTGTTAAGGGATGGGAAATACTGTAGTGAAGTCTGCACAGAGCAGTATAAGACTTATTGCTGTTCAAGATCTGAGAGTGAGCATAACATTTCTGCTAAGAAATTGTACAGTGTGAACGCTGGGTGTGTTGGAATAATGATGAAAAGATGAGTCAACTAGAGCGGCCAGGACTGCTCAGTAGAGAGCCCATCCAGCCAAGTGATGTCTTAGTGCAGCCCCACGGTATATTGCTAAATTAACTATCTAAAAAGGGGGGAATAGAGGCTGTACTTACAGGTGGTGAGTTTCAGGGAGTAAGTAGTGACTGAAATACTTTGGAAAGGTCAGAATAGAGAAGAAACTCAGTAGTAGATCCCAGTGTGATGGGAAAAAAGGTGTAGACCATCTTTGGATATAGGATTGGTGAGAAGTGGGAAGTGATCAAAAGCCCCACATGAAACCTTTGCTGCAATACACATCCCACTGGAGTGTTCCCACTCAAAAAGAACACTGAAGGATTTTCTGCTGGCACATCAAAGAATCACTGAAATAATTCAAGAACTGGAAAAAAAGAGGCCTTTCATCAGCTGTGGTAGAGTTCACCTTATTTCGTTTATTCAAAGGAAGAAGATATCAGTGTTTATCACCCAGGGTGTAAACACTTACATTAGGGTAAAACCCCAGGACGGGATTCAATCACCTGAACACACTCACTTGCAGCATGTTAGATGACAGATGTGTGACTCCTTCTGGGCAGGGGGAAAGCTGAGATAAATTCTCTAAACCCTGCTCAATCCCACATACGAGAGTCTGCTGGGTGCACATCCTGCACTAAGCCCTTCAGTCTTCCCATGTCAGCATGCTCCCCCAGCTGCTCTGGAACCTCTGCAGGTAACAGAAGAGTTGTTTTAACAGAGCAGCAAAACCCCCATCAATTACTGCTAACAGTCACATGCAATCAGATAATAGCTTGCAGTTCCTGATACAAACTCTAAGGAAGTCTCAGCACAGACATATATGGACCAACTTGAATTTGAAGCCAGACTCCATCCTCCAGCTGGAGACCCAATGCACTGGGCTTTCAATCCCCAGATGGCAATCCTGCTCTAGCACTCTTTGGATTTCTGACATGCAGGGAACATGGTTTCCATACTTTCACTTCTAATATCGTATATTTCTGTTTAAGATATCATTTAAATGATCCTATGTTTATAAGGTATATGGGCATGAAAATGGGAAAAATAAAGGCAGCAGGAACTCATTGCGAAAGCTGATGTGCCTGAACGCTCTTTGTGGCCATGTACGCCAGCAGCTCTGAGAGCCTCCACACAGCCCAGGGAAGTACCTTCTCAGCACCCACCACTCCTTCAGGCACGGCAGCCAAGGTGATCGGCTGCGGGCAAGTCACAGCATCATTCCTCAGTCAGCGTTTTCACCTGCATCACAGCACCAGCAGGTCATTGGATAGCACTGACTGCAGTCAGGCAGGGAGTGATAGGAGAGTAGAAAAGTCAGCAAGAGCAGCCATGTCCCAGTGCTGCAGGATGGGATAAGCTATTGCCACAGCTCTGTGAAGGTGAGAGTGTTTTTGAGGGATTCTGTGCCAGAGTCACTGTGACTGCCAAGACACCAGGCCTTCCCTTCTATGGGATCCACTCAATCCACATAGGAAAATGGATGTATACGATGAACATCTTGTGGGTGTAAGATGACATGTTAAAAGAGTAAGGTCTATTTAAATGAATGTAACAGCCAAATAATGACAAGTTCAAATCCAGATACACATGTGCTGTGAGAAAAACCCACCATAATAATGACAGTTCAATAGAAAATAATGTCATATCCAGATGTAAAAAAATGAATGTGGGAATGTTTGTTTACTCAGTGACTGTACTGTAAGGTTTAAATCCCAGTTTGTGTCAAGCAGTAGATACTGAAGAGTGTGAGAAAAAGATATAAGGAAACTTCGGATTTGGGGGGATTAATTCAGTAAAAAGTACAGTTGATGAGAAACACATGCTTATTCTGCTTTCTAAACCACCAGTGTTCCTGCTTCTGTTTCTCACAGATTCATTCTTAATTGATCTACTGACTTCGAATTATGGCTAGTTCGCACTACTATGACTACAGTCCATTTTTAAAGCCTGGAGAACAGCAATATAAATCCTCAGATAGTGATCAGGTATGTCTAGGGAATCTAACTCTTTTATTGGACTAACTTAACCTTATGGGAAGTCATTCAGTCAAAATAAACATCTAAAGGCTTAACTTTTTTGAACTGTATGTCCCCTGGATTAGGACTTCAAACTTGATTCTTAAGCCTATAAATATTTTTAATTGAGTGATAGTCTTGTTTTGAAGTCTACCCTGACACCGGTTGAGTCACTATCTTTGGAACAGGATCAGAAAACGATGCCAGTAAAGTCAAACAGCTGCTCTGTTACAGTTTTAGATGAACAATGAAAAAGGTGATTCTGGAAAGTTAAATGTATTCACCTGTAACAACAGCCATATTAAAGTCTCACCTTTTTCTTTCAGATTTACATTAGTTTGTTTTAAAAAGTTGGTGTTGTTTTTTTTGTTTTTTTTTTTTTTTAAATCTTGGTTTAGCTGAAGTCTCTTGTATCATTGTTCAATAACCGAGTTCAGGACTTCTATCTTTTGCATTATGCACTCTAATTTATTTTATTTCCCTATTTATTATGAATATTAACTTTATGTTAATAACATCACAAAGCATATTCCAGAGGTATTTTAAGTACCCACAGATTTAACTAAAGCATAAACTCAGAACATCTCATTTTGGATAGGGTATGATAGTATATCTAACCTAAGCACTGATTAAAGCCATGCAGAAAACTTTTGCTTCAGTTCTGTGGATGACCTAAAAATATATATATTTAAAAGTTCTTTGCAGATTAACCCCAGATGCCCTTGATTTTACTGGGTTTTTTTATGGAAAACAATCATTTGGTGATGAACTTTACCATTGAAAGTGAAATGAGTTCTGGTTTTGAACAACTGAAATGAAAATTAAGGAATGTGAAAGTGTTAATTTTTTCTGCAGAAGATGTTACTGTGGGGAAATAAAAGGTGGTGACCTGAAGTCAGGAGTATATGCAGGTGAAAAGGAAGCAGCTCAGAGACTGTGGCTCCAGAAGGACCAGGCAATGGAAAACTATCGGCCAGGTTCTTCTTTCTGCAGAGGGCAGCAATATGGGGAGCAGGAGCCAATGGCCACAGCAAACCACTCAGCCAAGCCATGGTTATCATCATCTTTTGTCCTGAGTCTTCTGGTGAGATATGGCAGCTTGGCTGTGTGCCCTACCTCCCATGGGCACAGCCTCCATCTCATTCTCGCCTGTGCCAGCCCATGCTGCTGCTCTGCACAGCCACGCCTTCCCACCCTCCCACCTCATTGCAGCTTCCATAGTCCGTGCTGCAGACATGCTTCAAAAGGTGCCATGTAAATGGTTTCTAAATGAAAGGAGAGATGATTGGAAGAATAGCTTGAAAAAAATCCATATTAGAACATGAGCATAATGTTTGTTTTACTCTTCTGCTCTGTGAGAGATGTTGCAGTGCCACATGTGAGCCTAGCTTAAAAAGATCAAGATGTCTTGATCCTGGACAGATAAAAATAAATAAGTCTAACATATCTGGGATTTCCTCATTCTTATGCTATGCAAAACCTTTTTTTTTTTTTTTAAATTTAATTTGAATGTGAATTTGCAAAGGGAGTTGGCTTCAGGGGCATGTTCTGGTGAATACATTATTTACTACTGAAACAGAAAAGGTGTCTGGTGTAGCTGTGATGGGGCGGAGAGTGAACAACAAAGATGAATGCAAGAAGAAGAAAAAAAGCAGAGTTTGCAGCTGAGCTATGAGATGAACCAGAGGTCGTAAGGAACAGAGCTACAGGAAATCTCTTCACTATGGCAGCAGGTGCAAGGGGTGAGCTCTCATACACTGATGTCAATTGGAAGCGAAGGTACCACACAAAGAAGCAGCTATGTGTAGACAGTGAGAAGCTGAGAGGCCAAGACAAGCAGTGAAAAACGGGTCAATTTGGAGCTTGCATGAGGGCTAAGGAAGTTGTTTGAGAAGCAAAGAGGCAGCAGCACTTCCGTCAGTATAGAGAGAGTTTGTTAAAATTTGGTGGGATTTCTGATGCAGCATGTAATGCTGTAGCTTCACGGTTGCTTTCAACTGAACAGAAGTTTTTGGTGGGAAAAAAGCACAAAGCTGGCAGTAGCATGGGGGAAGGGAAGGAAGGCACAACTGGAGACGAAGTAGTGGAGGGAACAGGCAGGACCATTTCTTTTCGCAGCTGTGTCTGTATATGCCATTATAACAAAAACTGGAAATTAAGAACTAGCAAAATGCTCCAGCTCCCTCCTGACTAAACTAAATTAGAGGATAGCCTTATAGTATCCACTGTTAGATATGCTTTTCTGTGTCATTTCTTACACCATCCATCTCAATCTAAATACCTAACTACTGCCTAAAAGTGCATTAGAGCAAACGGGGGGGGGTATATTTCTTTGTAAGCTCTGGATGTCTCACCATGTCCTTTGGATTAGACCTTACATGAAGGGCACAATTCAAATAGCATTAAAACCCAAGAGGACTATTTTCACCTAGGAGTATTTGCTTCAGAAGTCTATCTGCTTCCTGCACCTCTTTCTCCAGGTATGCTTAAAGTCGTCAGTAAAAACTATCTGCCATCTCCTTTCCAATGGTCTGACAATTTAACAAGCATGATTGTCCAAAAGCAGCTCCTTTCTGGATAAAGGAACAGATTGGCATGTTCTGTGTATACACACACACATGCACGCACATTCACACATACACCTGACTGTCTTCCAAGGTAATAAATTACAGCCTGCTGAGTATTCCAGGAGGTAAGGCAAACTCACTTGAAACAGAAGTGATGAAGTTTGGGATAAACTTTAACTTTGGAGTAGATTCAGAGCAAATGCAAAGGACTCATTAGCAGTGCTTTTTTTTCTGAGTACAGATCATGCCGTTCTTCTTTTGAATATTCCTTTAGAGAAGAGGTACTTTTTGGTAGCTCTGGACTAACTAGCATCTCTTGACCCTCTGCTGTTCAACATCTAAGCGGCTGAAACAAGTCTGCTGCTGATGCTGAGTTATTTGAAGTAGCATGAACAAGAGCTGGCTGCAAAGAACTGCAGAAGGACCTTGTGAGGTTGAATGACTGGGCAATCAAAAAACAGATGAAATTCGCTGTGTATAAATTGAATCAACACCTACTAGGAAGAAAAATCTTAGCCTGTCGTATAAGATAGAAAGATCTGAGATGATCACTGTCACTGAGAAGGAAACCATGGCATTAGTTACATATCTGAGAACATCAGTAAAGTGTGTGGCAGCACTCAGACAATCAAATGTTACAGACCATTGGTAAAGGAACACAGAACACAACAGGAAACATGGAGATGGCACTGCAGGAATCCATAGATAACCTGCACCCTTACTTAGCCTTCTCATCCCAAAAAGCAGAAACAGAAAAAAAAATAGAGAGGGACAACAAAGATCATCAAAAGTTTGGAGCAGCTTCTGTACAAGGTCAGTCTGATTAGCTTAGCACTGTGCAGTTTGGAAAAGGGATTGCATGATGTGTTAACATATAGGAAATCACCAGGGGCATAGGTACAGTGGGAAAAACCTGTTTCTTGAAGCACAAAAATCCAAGAGCTCTCAAAGGCAGGAAGCCATAGCCAGGCTCAGAGCATGCAACAGGAGTTGATGCCTTGTGCAGCAGGACCTGGGGAACCCCTCACCCACGGATGCTGTGTGGGCCAAAAGCTGAAGTGGGCTCAAGGGGGGGCTGGCCAAGCCCTTGGAGAGTGTGAGAGCCACTGCATGTTACTGACTCAACTAACCAAACTGAGCTGAGGAAACCCCTCTGCAGATATTGGTCAGAGGGCGGGAGAGCCCCAAGGGGAAATGTTGTGTGGGCTGCCTTGTTCCTGCTCTTGCTGAGGCAACTGCCCTGGCTGCTCTAGATGGCCCTTTGTCTGCACCCATATGCTGCCCTTTTACAACCAATTTCCCCCTGACTGATGGGAGCCAGCACTGACATCATCTGAGCCAGATGCACTGCAGCAAGGCTGAAGGAAGAAGGAGAAGGATGTGGGGCTATTTTTGGCATGTGAGGCCCATATGCTTGCTGTCTTCTCTCACAAGTCAGGAAGGGCACAGACTAGAACAGGAGGTCAAAACTCCTTTAGAATGTCCTGTATTTCTTAGTAAATGGACTGGAACCAGAGAAGATCAGTAAGTTGACAGTTGTTAGATAAACCTGGGCTTTTTTTAGTAACTTTTCTGAATGTTATGAAAACTTCCTTGTGCACAGGATGGTATATTTAACGTACAATTACATTTCCTGCATCTGAGAAGGCAGGAGCATCCTTGAAGATTAGGATGGATGGAGGTCATCTTGAAAAATGCTGAATTTGTGTATACGGTTAATATAATGGATATGATGATCTACGATTGAAGCAGGTACTACTTTAGCAAAGTTAATAAAAGCTGTAGTCAGTGGACATTCATAAGCTTATATAAAACTTGTAATTAGTAATATCAATAGAAATAAAACTGTCAGTAGAGAGATACTAGGGGTAACAAAAGGTGATGTGTATGTTAACTAGGGAGGAGAAGATACACAGGAAATGATGGAGGACCAAAATGATATAAAACACAAAACAGGAAAGGGGATTTTAGCAGAAAATCATGTTGTTACAATGATATGTGAGCTCAAGGTGACAGTCTTGGTACAGTGATCTTAGAAATTGTTTACTGTCTTGAAATTATTTACTGTTAACTCTGGTAGGCAGCTAATTCCCATGCTTGCTCACTCACCTTCCTTCTCTTGCCAGATGGGAGAGAGATTTAGAAAGGTAAAAGTGAAAAAGGTAAAAGTTACAGGCTGAGGTGTAGACAGTTCAATAGGTAAAACAAAAGCTGCGTGCATCAGCAAAGCAAAACAAGGAATTCACCACTTCCCATCGGCAGGCAGGTGTTCAGTCATCCCCAGGAAAGCAGGGCTCCATCATGTGTAGTGGTGACTTTGGAAGACAAATGCCCTAACTTTGAATGTCCTCCCTTCTTCCTCCTTTCCTCCAACATTCACTGCTGGGCATGACACCATATGGATAGTCATAAGGAATATCTCTTGGGTCGTTGGGGTAGCTGTCCCAGCTGCATCCTCTCCCAGCTTCTTGTATATCCCAGCCTACTTGATGGTGGGGCAGTGCGAGAAGCAGTGTAAGCACTGCTCGGCAGTAACTAAAATATCCCTGTGCTATACACTAGTCCCAAACCCAACACAGAATCCTCAACAAGCTACGATAAAGAAAATTGCCTCTATCCTAGCCAAAATCCATGTATATATATAGATGATAGCACCTTGCAATGAAAATAAAAAGCTTGTGACATCAAGAGATGTGGAGTCATACAAAAGAAATGAAAATACATACACAGCATTCACAGAATCACAGAATATTCTGAGTTAGTAGGACCCATATGGATCACGGAGTCCAGCTCCTGGTCCTGCACAGGACAGCCCCAAGAGTCACACCATGTGCCTGAGAGTATTGTCCAAAGGCTTCTTGAAGTCTGTCAGGCTTGGTGCCGTGACCACTTTCCTGGGGAGCCTTTCCAGTGTGCAAGCATCCTCTGGGTAAAGAACCTTTTTTGTAATATCCAACCTAAACCTCCCATGACACAACTTCAGGCCATTCCCTCAGGTCCTGTCACTGGTCACCAGAAAGAAGAGACCAGTGCCTGTCCCTCCACATCCCCTTGTGAGGAAGTTGTTAAACTGCGATGAGGTCTCTCCTCAGTCTCCTTTACTCCAGGCTGAAAAAACCAAGTGACCTCAGCCACTCCTCGTATGGTTTCCCTTCTAGACTCTCCACCATCTTTGTTGCCCTCCTTTGGACGCTTTATATAATAGCTTTATATCTTTCTTATATTGTGGTGCCCCAAACTGCACACAATATTCAAGGTGAGGCCACACCAGTGCAGAGAAGAGTGGACAATCACCTCCCTCAACTGGCTGGTGATGCTTTGCCTGCTGCCCCCCAGAACACAGTTGGTCCTCCTGGCTGCCAGGGCACTGCTGACTCATATTCAACTTGTCATCGACCAGGACTCCCAGGTCCCTTTCCCAGCACTGCTCTCCAGCCTCTCGTTCCCCGTTCTGTAGGGACCTCTGGGATTGCCCCATCCCAGGTGCAGAATCTGGCACTTTCCCTTGTTGAACTTCATATAGTTGGTGATTGCCCAGTCCTCTGATTTGTCTTGGTTTCTCTTCAGGGCCTCCCTGCCTCTGAGGAAGTCAAGAGTTCCTTGCAATTTTCTATCTATCATCTGCAAATTTGCTTAGTATCCCTTCAAGTCCTGCATCCAAGTCATTTATATGGCTACTTAAAGCCAATGAATACCATAATAATTGTACGCATGTCTTATTAAATTCAGCAAGTATCTGAATGCAATGCAGTGCCAGAGTAGGGCTCACTAACAGTTACATGATGGCTCTAAGACACAAACAATGCCTAGTATAGCTACATTTGAAAGTAAATAATTTCCCAAGAGT